CTACTACAATTAGTAAACGTAGATATCGGAAATCGCACTTTTGTTGAAGAAGCAGCATAATTTTGAAGCTATATGTTTTACCATGCAATTTATATTGACGCAGCAGGGTCCCGTACGGCTTTCCATATTTGTGCTGATTGCTACTACTACAATTGGTAAACGTAGACATCGAAAATCGCATTTTTGTGGAAGAAGCAGCATAATTTGGAAGCTATATGTTTTACCATGCAATTTAAATTGACGCAGCAGGGTCCCGTACGGCTTTCCATAGGTAGGGGACACTATCAGTGTCGACTTGAACATGATTCACTGGTTAGAGTGATTTTGGTATACATAACGGTCTGTGTAAATTTTCAAAACGTTCGGGAATGGTAGACTCTTGTCTAATAAATAATAATGAATAATACACATTGTATTTTAAGCATGTTATTCAATCACTGACATTGTATTCACACTAATAATACCACATAATTATCATTTTGTGTGAAAGTCAATATTTTCAAAATAAAAACCCATATGTTGATTGAGATTGTTTACATAATTATGTAAATTTAGTTCAAGGTGACTAAAACAGTCATGCGTAATAATGTTTTAATAATTATGTATATACATGGTTTATCAGAAACCATGGGCGGACCGCAATCAGTTTTGATAATTTGTGACGGTATTGTTGATTTATTCTTATCGAATATATTATCGATTTTGATAAAAAAATATTTGGATTTGTTTTTGAAAGAACTACTTTTAGTGGGACTCTATTAGATTTCCACATTTTATGACGGAATGTTCAGCAACTATTTTGATAAGAGTTTCTTAGAGTCCTTCATCCATAACTCTAATCCTAATATCCGAAAAAGGGTTTGACATCCGTGCGTGCATGCGCATGACCGTTAAAACTCACACACACATCATACATTATACATTATACATAATATCGAACATATACACATGCATTTGTTTCACGTTCCGTTACAAGATGGTTGATTGGTAGCGCATTGTAATGCCAACAATACATTAAAAGTCACACATTTTTCACTATTCCCGAATTGAATCTCATCTGTTTCTGGACAACATTTGTTTGAACTTAGTACATACAGAATGGGAATTTTATGCACATAATTTAATTTTTTGAATCAAGTTCAAAATGGCCGACTGGCGGCAAATTTTGTTTCAAAAAATGCAGTTCCAGATATACTCTATATATTCGACATGCCTGGGCCAATAAAGGTGAAACATCATATATATAATTGTTTCATGATGTTTTTGAAAATGGCCGATTTACAGTCATGTAAAGCTACCAAAATGACTCAAAACCACACATTTTCACCATTCTGAAACACCATCTCAGTCGTGCATGGGCGTCAAACATGGTACATATGTTGAACATAATAGGACTTTGATGCCCACCATTTTATTTTCCTGATATGATTAAAAATGACCGATGACCGAAGTGACCACTTTGTTTCATAGAATGCAGTTCCTGATCCTAATATTACACATGCCATGACAAACTTCACACATAATTAAATCTCTTGTGTACAACACGTAATAATTTATAATAAATAAATACATAATTAAATCTCTTGTGTATAACACGTAATGAATTATAATAAATAAATACATAATTACATCTCTTGTGTACAACACGTAATGTACTATAATAAATAAATACATAATTACATCTCTTGTGTATAACACGTAATGAATTATAATAAATAAATACATAATTACATCTCTTGTGTACAACACGTAATGAATTATAATGAACAAATACATAATTACATCTCTTGTGAACAACACGTAATGAATTATGAACAAATACATAATTACATCTCTTGTGTACAACACGTAATGAATTATAATAAATAAATACATAATTACATCTCTTGCGTACAACACGTAATGAATTATAATGAACAAATACATAATTACATCTCTTGTGTACAACACGTAATGAATTATAATGAACAAATACATAATTACATCTCTTGTGAACAACACGTAATGAATTATGAACAAATACATAATTACATCTCTTGTGTACAACACGTAATGAATTATAATAAATAAATACATAATTACATCTCTTGCGTACAACACGTAATGAATTATAATGAACAAATACATAATTACATCTCTTGTGAACAACACGTAATGAATTATAATGAACAAATACATAATTACTTCTCTTGTGTACAACACGTAATGAAT